TCTCTCTCTCCTAGCAGCAGGTGGGTGTCTATCGGTGGCATCAGAGCAAATTCAGATGGGCGTTATCCTTCACTGCTACCACCTCTGACGGGGTTTGATTGGGGGAACTTGGAGGTCGATTCAGATGGGTGTTCTCCTTCACCACTACCACCTCCAATGGGGTTTGATTGGGGGAACTCGGAGGCCAATTCAGATGGGTGTTCTCTGCTTCTGGGCATTTTGCTCCTCCATGGCTACAGCATTTCATCATTCCTAAGCGTTTTGCTCCCGTTGGTGGCTCTGTCTTTTTGCCCATTCTCTCTTCTGAGCTTCTAAGAAGGGAGATTTTTACACCCTGGTTCCACCATTCTCTCTCTCTCTCTCTCTCTGCAACAAGATATAACCAAATAGGACAAGTATAAATGGGCACAATGGCCAGTCCATATTTTACACTCTCACCGAACCATCGTTTCTCAACTCCATCGGTATAAAAGTGCATTTACACTGGAAACAAATGCAGCCTGAAGTTTAATATTTTTAAATAGATATTATTAAAAGTTACTAATATGGTTTAAATCTTCTATATAGTAAAGAAATAAAAACAAGTTCAGCAAATTACTTCCATAATGACTTTTCTTTTCACAAGTTCAGGAAATTGATTATAGTGAAGAACATTTAGGGGGTGTAATTCAAATGTGAACCGTTTTTCTTGTTTAGTTCCAACAGCAAATTAAAACCCTCAAAACAAATGCGGTTCTTTAAAAAAACACAGATTGGTTGAATCCTGATTCAGTCCTTACAAAATTTGTACTCACACCGTATTCACAACAGTTGCAGCCCTACATTGGGAACATCTCCCCATAAAAAATATAGGGAAAATTCCTGATTAGTACCATGTACTTTGGGCCTAATGCCACTTTGGTCCCCCGAACTTTAAAATGCGATAATTCAATACCCGAACTTTCAAAATGTGTCAATCCAGTACCTATCATTAAACAATCCGTTAACCAGCCGTTAAGTGACATTTGAAAAGACAAATACCTTTTGAGTGTCATCTAATTTTCTTTATCAACCATCCACATGTTGATAAAAATGAACAGTCTCAAATCTTTGCCTCTTCTATTTAAGAAAGTTGGGGTTATGTCTCAGTGGGCATTCTGATGATCCCAACTTTCTTGAACAGAAGAGGCAAGGATTTGAGACTTCATTTTTTGTCAACGTTTGGATGGTTGATAAGAGAATTAGATGACACTAAAAGGGTATTTTTATCTTTTCAAATGACACTTAATGGCTGATTAACGGGTTGGCTAATGGCAGGTACTAGGTTGATACGTTTTGAAAGTTCGGGTATTAAATTGTCGGGTTTTAAAGTTTGGGGACCAAAGTGGCACTACGAAAATACGGGATACTAATCCGGAATATTCCCATAAATATAAGTATGGAGATGTTCCAAATCCAGGGCTGTAAGTATTGTAAACACAGTGTGAGTACAAATTCTGTTATTTAGGGGTATTCTACAATGCGAATAGTTTTTCTTGTTGTTAAAACCATCTGGTTTTAAAACAAATTGTTTCTCAAAACAAAAAGCACAGAAATCACATTCCTGGTTGTGTATGCGTTTTTTGTTTCCATAACTAAAACAAAAAACATGTTCATTTTCTGGTTTTAAAAACATGTTTTTATTTAATTATTTAATATGATGCTCCATAATTCATATAATTTCTACACTACAAAATTTGTTTTAAAAAATATGTATTGGTTTTTAAAATAAAACCTAACTTATTTTTGCTTAGAAAACAAAAATAAAAATCAAGAACATGTTTTTTTCTTGATGTAGTCATTTCAAAAACAAATCAAAACAAAAATATTTATATTGCAGAAAACCCACTTAATGTCATGTTTCAGAATGTCTTTCTTGCAAAATTTGCTTTCACTGATGTGACAATGCAAAAACAAATGAAAGCAGAAAACATTAATTCATGGTGCAGGGCAGCCCGCTATTCATACTCACATAAAATGAAAACGACCTATATTTGTCAACCCAAATGGCCCAAGCCGAAGTACCAGACAAAAAGTACTCACACATTTACTTAATTAATTAATTAAGTGGTTTCTCTAACCAAAAACCTCGAACAGACAACAGAGAGGGCCCCCTCTTAGGGAGTAGTTAACAAGGATTATTTTGAGTTTGGGGATTGACCTTACCCACACACCCTAGTGTAGTGATAGATGGGCTCTGGCAATATATGTTATGGGTTTTAACCTTATCTTATTCTCCGATTAACTCAAACTATCCTCTAATTAAGGCAAATAAAATAACCATTGGACGCAGCCGGGCAGGTTCTGTTTATGATTAATGGAACATATGTTCAGTATTGACAAGCTCGATACCGATTCTTCATGTATCAACCATGTCAGAGCATCGATACTCCCTTATTTCAAAATATAAGGGATTAGAAAATATTGGAGTCTGAAAATGTCAGAGCAACTTCTCACCTGCCAACAAAACACATTTCAACACCCTCTCAACATAATCTGACACCACATATATTATCATTAAATTGGGACTCACCCTAAAGTGGGATTCCTTATTGTTGGCAGATGATCGGGACTCATTTTTTCCTCACACACATGGTGCCTGTGTTGGATCTACACCTTATGCATAGCCTACGTGGGACCCACACTTTATGCATAGTTTCATACATGGGACTTATGCGAGACCCACCGCTTATGCATGGCCTAGTAGGACTAGGGCTGTTCACGGGTCAGGTTGGATCGGTTTACGAGTGTGTTTTTAACCGATCTCATCACCTGGTTAGGTTATCTATAGTTAAACCGAAACCTTCCCTCTATTAAGTAAAACCAACCTGATTGGTTTGACTCGGTTTGGGTTGGTTTGGGTTTCAACCAACTCCAAGCTTGCACAATGCATATAAACTCAAAGTGCTAATATTATATATAACATTTCAGCATATATTTTCTGGAAATATATTTAAAACTGAAATATACATTTAAAACCAAAACATATATACAAATATATCGGAATATATATTTTCTAATTTCTGGAAATATATATCTGATATATTTCAGAATATATATCTTTTCAGATATATATTTATTATTTAAAACTAAAATATCTATATTTAACAGATATTTTTTCTGATAACTCAATTTGGTTCAATTCGGTTTTGGTTTTCACACATGAAAACCAAAACTGAATCGAATTATTGGTATATTCATCTTTGCAGCCCGAAACCGACCGATAGTGAAAAAAAAAACCGGCCAACTGAGGTTGGGTCGGGCCGAATTAATCGGTTTGAATTTATTTATGAACAACCCTACGTAGAACCCACAATGATGCATCCGCGCATGATAGGTTGCCCAGGAGTTTATTTAACTTTTCAAGTGAGTTATGATTATTTCTAGTTTCACTTGTCTCATTGAGAAAGAGCCACATTCCAGCTGAGATGGATTGAAAACAAATGACAGGAGCAGTTCATGTTATGAATAAGCCTTGAGAGTGTTTGGGTTCTCTTTTCTCTTATACTTTACAGTGGTATACTGTTTCAAAGTGAGAAAGTAAGGTTCCCCCGTTGTCAAGTAGGAACTTAAGGTGGAAACAAAGAAAATAAAACAAAAAGAAACATACAAACACGATAGGTTAAAATAATCAAACTAAACTAGTAAAGTGGTAAAAGCCCCCATTGTTTACGTACAAAAAGAAGATATCCAACCCAACTCACCAAAACCAAAACACCACACAGAAAAAAGTAACCTAACTAACCAAACTTGAGACAAATAATCTCCTCTATTGTCCCACCCAACTTGTGTATGATATTCTTCTCAGCTCTTTCATCTTTGCAGGGTTGACCCATTGATCTGTAATCTGTGTTTCGAAAGAAATATATATATATAATTAAGCCAAAAAAATAGGGAAATGCAGTGGTGATGTAGAAGAGTAGACAAGCATGATGAACGGCATCAAGCAAATGCTGTGGTGCAGAGGCATGTGATAATGAACGAGAAGTGCTTTTCAGTCCCATGCAGAAAAGAAAAGCAGGAAGATACGACTGTCCTCTCTGTATCAGTATCACCTTATGGAAGATAGAAGGGATATGAGATGCCTCTGGACTCTGGATGCATCTATGGTCCCCTTTTTCCTCACTCCTTCACTCCCACTTTTGAAGCATCAGTAGCTGTACATACACACGATGGCTCACTTTCATCTAATAGTATCCAGTGTTTCTCTCTCTTGGGTCCAATATCAAAAGGGATAATTGGGAAATCAATTTTTGTATTATATGTGAGGTTCAGGAGTTACTTTGTTTTTTTGGTGGGGGTTCGACTCTGAACTACCCAAATAGTTAGAGTTAGAGAAATCAGATTTGACTAAACCAAATTCCAATGGGACAGTATATTGACTATATTCTGTTTTTGTCCTAAATGGACATGACACAATCCGGAGAAATGGTAAAACCTGAATTAGGTTCGAGTCTTTGGTTAAAGGCGACGCACATGGGCTCTATAGTTATAGCTGGAATGGGATATGCTCCTCACATATGGGCGTCTCACAAACACATCCACCGTGCATTGGAAACATTACCCAATGCATGATAGAATGTGCATGCAGAGCAGATTCAGTCTCATTATAATTAGGGATGGCAATTTTTGTCGCAAAACTGCAGCCCTGCCCTGCACTGCATTGGGTGGATTATTTTATTTTATTTTATTTTATTTTAAGCAGGGATAGGGTAGAAACGGAAAAAATATTTATCCTGAATAGGGGATGAGTGGGGATGACATTTGCATATTCACCAAACCTACATGGAACTCAATATTGAATGAAGTAGGTTTTTCCGAGGAAAATATTTTTGTCCTGAATAGGACATGGGTGGGAATTGCATACTCCAAACTCCTATTAATCCTATTTTAAGGTGTTGCATTCGAATAGAGATTATCATTATCCATCCCAGAAAATTTAAGCAAGGAAGAACACTGAAAACTGGAATTATAACAATAAAAAAAAAAAAGATGGAATCAATATAATCTCCAAAAAATTAATTAAAATCTTACAAAATAACACTCAAAGATTACATGAATTCCACCTGATCTGAGTATCAATATCTACAGAGTAATAGCAACTTATTGCTTTGCTCTTTCCACTCATTAATATATAAATTAAGAAAAAGGAAAGGAAGAAAGAAAGAAAAGAATCAAAACCTTGCCAGAAAAGAAATAAATCAATTCTGATCTTCCCTCAGTGAATGAACTCGCTTAATTAACCCTTCCACTCGATGCACTGCGATGTAGGCCTTGTCTTCTGCTTCCCTGCTTTAAGCGGGCAAGCAGTCTGCGCCGGCGGGACCATGCAGTTGTACTGCAAGCACAACGAACTACTGACGGGAATCGCGGCCGCCGGACTAATCTGGATTCCCGTCAGGTAATTGTGCTGTAGATACAGTATCTCTATGCCCGCTGCTAATAGCCTTTCGACGAAGATGCTCGGGACCTGCCCCATGAACTTGTTGTTGTTGAGATACAGTTTCTTAACGGTCGAGAACAATGGAGATATCTCCCCGGACAGCCGGTTGTAGCTAAGATCAACTGTCCGGATTCTGACCTGGTTCCACGGTCGAACAGGGCCGCTGAACAGGTTCCTCTGTAACTGAAGGTTCGTGATAGGAAATGAGAAGAGATTGCCCGGGATAATGCCCGTAAACTGGTTCATGCTCAGGTCCAGGTAGTTCAACCGGTTGAGCCGCGACAGTAGCCGGTCGACCGGTCCTGTGAGACGGTTGTACGACATTGCCAGGTACTGGAGCGACGGAGGCAGAGACGAAGGTGAGAGAATGCCGGAGAGGTCGTTGTGCTTGAGGTCGAGGCGGGTTAGGGCTCGTGATAAGAACGGAGGGACTGAACCAGACAGATGGTTGTGACAGAGAATGACATTGGATAATGATGGCAGAGTTCCGATTGTTCGGGGAATCTGGCCTCTCAGTTGATTGTAGCTGAGATCGAGCGTTTGAAGGCTCCGAAGCTCCGCAAGATTCGCCGGAATCTCCCCGGATATGAAGTTACGGCTAATGGCGAGAAACCGGAGGCTCTTCAACTGTGATAGCGTTTGAGGAAGAGTACCAATAATTCTACCGGGAACAATGGAGAGCTCGGCTAACGCTGAAAGTTTACCGATTGCAGGATCGAGACGACCGGTTAGACCAGGAGAACCAGCTCTGGGATCACCTAGGTTCAAAGCGATGACCTTGTCGGCTTCACAGTACACACCGGCGAAGTTGCACGGGTCGGAGGTGAAGTCCCAGGAGGAGAAGAAATTCGAGCCTGACATGTCGTTTAGGGCTTTCCGTATCGACTGCAGGGCCAAGAAATCAAGAGGTTGTAACATGGAAAATGCGCAGAAAGGAATGCACAACAGAACTAAAAGATAGAGAGCAGAGACTGCAGGTCCGCCGAAGCTCTTCATCATCTCCATCTCTGAAAGGAAACAGAGAGAAGAGATAAGAGAAACCCAGGGGAGGCAGGGAACTCTGGTTTGACGAGAAGGGTCTGTAAGGGTTTTAAAGAGGAAGGGATGACCTTTTCTGCTACTTTTCCGTGAGAAAAACCTCCAGATTTCTCGTGCGAGACTCCGTGAACGCTTTAATGGCGAAGCAGTTGAAGACAGCATGAATAAGCAAGACTCAGGCGAGATATTGAGAGAAAGAGAGATGTCTTCGGATGCAAGTTACACTTTCTTCATCGATCTTTCTCTCTTCTGTCTCTATGTTCTTCGCTTTTTCATTATTTTGGCTTCCCAGAGAAGGCGCAATGAGGACCTCTGCAACAGCAAAGCTGCTCTGGAAGTCCCTTCTTTTTCCCCTTATTTTTATTCGTTATTTGTTTTTTTTTTTTCTCTCTTACTTGGGAATAGGTTCGGAAGTGCAAACGGTTCTCCGAGCCTAGGTGTTGCACCGAGCCTGAGGCTTGTGCAACAACTCAGCCCATGCGAACGTACTACGTGTCGAGACAGTGCCAGCTTTTTGGTATCACTGCTACGCGGGTTCCACTGCCAGACGCGGGATACAGACACGTCATCCAGTTTTGCCAGGTCATCTGCCGGGAGAATGGGGGTTGCCGCCAGCTGTCTATAGGAGATTGAGTAGTCGTTTTCCGAGAGAAGATTCTACCTGCTCAACGTGTTATTAATTTCTTCTGTGGACAAAAATATTGTTATGGGTGTGGGCCGTGGGCTGTGGCCTGTGGGGACACCAACGGTCTCTTTCTGCTGGGCATAGTTTTAGGAGGAACGATGTGCGGAACATCATACTGACCAATCAGTTTTGTGCACAATGATCTACGGTGATTAGATGATATAGGCCCCCATCTTTGATGCAGGATTCAGGATTGCTGAAGTTGAGATTCTCGATTTTCCATAAGCGACTAAGCGTAGCACACGGGTACTGCACCAGTCGGAGTGTAAATAGATTTTTATTTTATTTTTGGTAGATGAAAATAATTGCTCCTACCACGTTAGAGTTTTATACACTAATTTTGGAATTTACGGATTTAGCATTTAGGATTTAAGAGTTTTAGGGTTAAGAGTTTCTGTGCTTAGAGTTTAGATTTTAGAGTTTCCGGGTAAGTATATTTGTATATGCTTTTTTTGTTAAATTTATTTAGGTAAATGAATCTCTTCAATTTTTTCATATTCTTTTGCCTCATTTATTTTCTCGGTTAAATGATTAATTTTTCTATGTTTTATTATTATTATTATTATTTTTGGACCCAAATCTATGTTTTTTGTATTATATTGTTTTAATAGATATTTTTAACATATTATATTTTGAGCATTAATTTTCACGGGAGAAAGTTAATTTTTCCAAGTGGAAAAAGGATAACATTTCTTCGGATAAATAATATCCGATAAAAACATATTTGCTGTAAATCCCACCAAAATCCTGAAAAAGAAAGCAGAAGAGATTTTCAACCATACTAAAATCCACAAAACGAAGAAGGCCTTAGATAGAACATGTAGGAACCTAAGTTTTATCCAGCCACACAGGCAGATCTTGTGAATCAAGAGTAGGGCTGTAAAAAGATCGAATTTGGATTAAATCAAATTACATTTGCATCTACATTTGATTATAAAACCTCTAAATCTGCATCTGCATCTATTAATCGAATTCTAATTTAATCCAATCCAATTATTAATTAAATAATATCATTTCTAACATCCAAACCCAAAATAAATAATCGAAAACCATAATTTTGCGCGTGAAAGTCTAGTAAATCAGATTGATGGAGAAAACGTAATATTAGAAGCTACGAAATTAAGAGTGTAAGACGACCATCACTACCTGGACCAGTTGTAGTGTTGTAGTGGTGGTGGTGGGGGTGGAGGTGACGGTGACGGTGACGGTGGGAATTGATGGATCATGGCGTAGTAAATAAGATTGCCTGGAAAATGGGGTTGTTCAACCTTCAATTCAACTTGGTTTCCACCCACCGAACGTTCAAAGGCCATTGATTAACACCGTGAGAGAATAATTTGGATTTGTTAGGGTACAGTGCATTGAATTTCACTATATCCGTCATCTTCCCAAGCAAGAAATTCTTTTGGGAAATTGCGTAATCTGTCGATCAGTATCAGAACGAGGGACGTCTGTCTCATCATGGTTTTAGTTTTTCTGAATAAAATGATGGGGTCCAATCATATATGGAGATGGAGATTTCTCGGGCGAGCAGAGAGACAGAGAAAAAGAGCTAGAGATCTTCTCACCGAAGCGACGTTGTTCTGGGTAGTTGAATCATTTCCTTCCCCAGAAAAAAGGGGACCAGGTCGTAGTTATCTTAAGTTAATTTAATCGTTTAATAATTGCTTGTCCATTACATTCCGTTTCTTTTCCCAAAGACGAAGCGGCCCAGATAGAAGAGGATCAGGGGAAGCTGCTCGGCAACAGCTCGCAATAGAATGATAGATGACTCTGAAATCTGAACCTTCAGGTAGCAGTCTGAGTCTCTGAGAAGATTGAGACCTTCTGAAACTTGAATGAGGAAAGAGTGGGAAAAGTTCATTAAGATATGTACAAGTTGGAAATTATTAGATTGCCAAAGAGAATTATTAGTAGGAAAATCGTCATCTCTCTCTCTCTTGTTTGTTTTTTAATATTTTCTGATGGCATTGGCCCCCGACTCGTATTCTTGTCTCATAAAAATGTATGCTCTCATGAAGTACTAGTGTCGGCCAGAAGCTTCCTCTTCAATTGGTTTTTGGGTATCAAGAGAAGCACGTCATTGCCCCTTTCAATCCTCTTCTTATTGTCTGTTTGGCCTCTACCAATAATGAACTTGGGCCTTGGGAAAGGTAATTCGTTGAGGGATACTAAAGCTATGAATAACAATTTAGGAGCAAGTTAGGAAGAAAATAAGCAATTTAGGAACAACAGTATAATGAGGGTGGTGATTTCTGACCCAACACCCAACTATAGGGGTGATCATGGGCCGGGCCAGGTTTTGCACTATGATAAGGGCTATAACTTAGGCCCAGGCCTGTACTTCCGGGCCTGAAATATAAGTCCTAGCCCAATTCTACACGGGCTTGGTCCGGGCTTGAACACAAAACCCAGGCTCAAACCTGAAATTTCCGAATCAGGCCGAAATGATCTCCCCTACCCAACCGTAGTGATGATAATTTATGATCTGGCTCAGCTCAGCCCGTGAATTTTCGGGCCTGGACATCTATATTTCTATCAAGCCTGGCCCATCTTGGACCCGCATCAAGCCCGCACACAATGTGGGCTAGGCCTAGGCCAAGCAAGCCTTGGTCCTAGCTGGCCCAGCCCAGCCCAAAAATTATTATATATATATAATATATAGTATTATATCTTATAGTATTTTACTATATATATGTATATCATGTATATATGGTATTATATATTATTGTATACACAATAACATTTTAAATATGCTTTTTCTTAATTATGAACATAAAGTTAAATTAAAATTTTAATTTTAATTCATATGGGTAAGACTGAATGTCCGGTCCAGCCCAACCCGAGACTAGGCCTAGGGTTTGGGCTGAGCCGGGCTTGGGCAGGTCTTAATACTATTGATACCCTATAAAAACCTGGCCCCAGCCAAGTTCATGATCATCCCTCCTCAATCCATTTGGCCCTTCCATTAATCCACCCAAACTCATAGTGTTCATTCGATAACAAAGGGTAAATTGCAGAGTTTACACCTGCGTCCCACAAGGGGGTACCCCCACAGTGTCCTACAGCACATCCCTGCCATGTATTGGAAACATCTCTCGATGATGACATCATCGTCACAAGAACTATCATTGGGAGATGTTCCTAATGCAAGGTGGGGATGTGTTGTGGGACGTTGTGGGGCGTAGATGCAAACTCTAAATTGCATATCAGTATCTTGTACTATGGGAGTGGTTTTACTTTACTACCCGAGCTTTAAGCTTGCCATTGTAAAACTTGAACTCCCGAAAATTGCCACTTTAGTCTAGCACTGTTAACGGAGGTTAGAGTAGGTAGAGTAAAATTATCAAACTGCCATTTTACTTCTTTTTTTCTTTTTTTCTTCTTCTTCTTCGACATTTTTTGGTCCAAATTCCATGGCGGACCACTAGTCCAAACAAGTTTGGCTTCTTTCCATCTGTGTTGTTGCCTAGAGCTGATTTCGGATTACAAATGGATGAGTCATTCTTATTATAGGAATACTGATGGTGCGCAATCCGGCTGGTCCTATTTGTCAATGACCTTGCCTCTGAATGGAGCTGCGGGGAACCTAAAACCAAGAGGGTGAGAACGCTCCAAGGGAGACCCGGTGTGGAGGCTCCAAAGCTCAAGTTAGAATCCTTCAAAGGCGAGATGAAACCAGATAGCGCAGAGTTTGCATACCTTGTTCTTGGGGGGTCGGGAGCCTTTTATAACCACCTTGTGCACTCACTTCCAAGCTCTGTCAGATCGGGCATGATTATTTCTGAGCTCCTGCCAGTTTGGATGTCATCCCCTCTGGCTGGGCAGAACCGCCACTGCTCCCTTTGTCAGAGCCGTCTCTGATGGTGGCAGGTGGCAGGTGGCGGTGGCAGGAGGCCGTTTGAAGTGCGGTTGTCAAGCGTCAGATCCCAAATCAGTCAGGGGCGCCGCCCTTGGATACGGACACCCTTGGTGTCAGGTGTGGTATGTTCGGTCAGCCTGGCGTTTGGGAGGCGAAGTGCCGGGGTGGCGAGGCGAGGTGAAGTCTTGAGTTCAGATAGGGGAGTGTCCCGAACTGCCATGAGGTGGGCCAGTTCGGGTTACTGCCTTGTGAGGCTCGAGCTCTTTGTAAGGAGTTCGGGTCTCCTAGTAGGGAGCTCGGGCTGCTGGTTCCTTGGACACCCGTGCCTTGGGTGCGCTGTTTGTCCCGAGCTGTTTGATTTTTTCCACGTGGAGTGATTGCGAGGTCGGGCCAAATCTTCCTTCATCAATTGCCCCCCACTCCCTGCGCTAAGGGTCCTGCCCTGGAGCGGGGAGTTTGCAAGGTGGTAGGTGGATTTGCCCCGTACTTCGAATTTTTGTTGACTGATGGCGCAAGGTGTGTTGTTAGGATTCCTTGGGTTTCCTCGAGCGTCAAAAAAGGTGGGAAACGTGCCGACCTGCCCGAATGCTGATAGACGTGATGGCGCGTGCTTTATTTCGAATTTTCAAAAAGCGCGCCGCTTGGGAGACGTGACAGCAGGCGTTTTTTTCAAATTCGAGAGTCGTGCCGCTGCTGCATTTATTGTGAGGAGACGTGCGTTGGCATTCCGTCATTTTCGAAAAGACGTGTGCCGGCGCTGCCCGTTTCAGGAAGACGTGCGCCAATCACGTCTTGGTT